GGGGGATAAAGATTTCAATTATTAATTAAAGAGTATTCCATTGTAATAGCTTTTAAAAAATAATTTTAAACTATTTAATGGAAAACTCACAAGGGTAAATCTCCCAAACTCCTTCAACACAAATTTGCCATTTTGCAGTGCCATTATTTTCGGTTTGAAGAAACAGTCCTTAAGGAAAAAGGATGTACCCATCAGCTGGCCACAAAGCGCCACTTTCTGTGTGTCCGACACCCAGCTTGGATGGAAATAAAGTACCGCCTGGACCGGATCATCTGCTTCGTCTTTCAGACACTCAGTGTCGTAGACGAAAACAATCATCGTCTCCCTGCAAATAAAATTTTTTAATTATTAATTTACATTGTACATATTTTCGTGCATAGTTCAAATAAACGTAAACAACCGATGTGGTTAGCTACCAACAACACCTCTCATCAATGCTTCTTCTATTAGCACGCTCCACTTTCGACCAACGCAAACGCTTTTTGGATTTTCGTAAATTTTTAAACATTTTATTACTATTAACTTCTAAAAAATTAGCCACTGCTAACATCTTAATAAATTCGATTTCGATTGCCGTACGAGCGCGCAACGTCATCTACGCTTAACTAGCTTTGCCGAATTTGTGGAGTTGGCATATTGGCGTAATTGCGACTAAACAGGCGTCTATCAGCAGTCTAGTGATAAAGCGCAATAGCCATTTACAACGCTTCAGCACGTCACCAAAGTGAAACTGATAACACTGCTTACTGTTAGCATATGCCCCACCGCTTTCTGCCCACATTACTGTAGCTAGCGCAACAGAGAGCCTCGCATATGTATATCTGTTTGTCTATATCGCTTAAATGAGTAGCACAGTAGAGACTAGTAAATAGCACTTACCAAATTGCGGCGCTATACGCTCGAAGAGTGCCTAGCGGAGTGATTTTGTTTCGAGGGGGTGGAGTGGGTAAACAAATGGCAATTAGCCGATTGAAATATGAGAACTCATTGTAATGGTTGTTGTTTTTCTCTCAGTGTACTTACTTAGCTTTTTGTTGGAGCTTTATCGCATACCATTTTCGACACAAGATGTCACTTACGATACAGTGAGTTCTAAGCCGAGCTTGAACTCGAACTAATCTCGAGTTTCTCAAAATTAGTTTCTCGAGCTTAGAGAAAATGCACTGAAAAGGCAACAAGAGCACTGTTCAGTTTCCAAAGAAAAATCCAGAATTGGAAAACGCCAGTATATAAACGCCCACACGCCATCACGAGTAACATTGATTTTAATCGAAAAGGTTTCTACTTACGGAGTAGGGGAAAAAAAATAAAAATCATAAAATCGCTTAGGAAAACGTTGAAGTGTTTAAACTAAAGGAATATAATCCTAGAAGTGGGTGAATGAAAACAGCAAACATATCGATTGCTGAGTGGAAGATCGGCCTATCTCGGCAGCTAGCTCGAAAACGCTCTATCTCAAAAAACTTTTCAAGAACGCCCTATTTCAGAATTCGTTTCAAAAACGCCCTATATCTGCACATTTTCAATACATTTTGAAGTGAGATAGGGCGTTTTTGAACTGCATTCTGAGATAGGTTGTTTTTCAATGAAATTCTGAAATAGAGCGTTCTTGAAAAGGTTTTTTGAGATAGAGCGTTTTCGAACTGGCTGCCGAGATAGCGCGATCTTCCACTCAGCAGTGGATATGTAGATTAATCGTATTTCTAAAAAAAAAAATTAAAAAAAGACTACAAAAAAATAAAGTTCCATAATTTCTAAATTATTAAATTATTAAAAGTGTAAGAAGTTAAAAACATTAAGTTATAAGAAAGTAGAAAGTGAAATTAACTCTAAACCTTGCGTATGATGACTAAGTGCATTTAATTTTAAGTTCATTAAGCGAAACGAGAAAAATTCTTAATCTTTTAAACAAGCACTTAAATAGACACCCTACATCGGTGAAAATTACAAATACAACGCTAGTAGGTCTTTCAACGCTGGAACGGCAAGGAAACATACATACATGTAAGTGATAATAAATTTTTCTTATTATATTATCATGGTGGAGACCATATACATATGGGCATTCCCATGGTGGCGCACGTGACAGTTGTACGATTTCAATGTGATACAAAAAAGGAATACCATTTGTTTTCTTTAACTTTTTTGTGCCATTGTATAGCACATAATTAGTTCTATATTTAACCGAAAAATGAAATCAATCGAACTGCTTGGTCCTGAAATATAAGCATTTAAAGAGTGTCGTTACGTGACAAAAAATGGAAGTTGATTTCTTCTTTTCTTACAAAATCGCAAAACTCTGCGAATTGTGGATGGCTATTTTCGTGAAACTTATTTTAATATGATTTGGAGCAATTCTATGTAGTTGTTTTCAGAGTTTTTTGAATTAATGCAAATTGTTTCAATTCTCTTTTACAACCCCAAGTGTGAAACGTGACGTGACGTGGCGTCACGTGACATAAATTTCCATCGTTATATTTTTGTTAATATTGCTTTTAAATGAATTTTCAACGCAAATAAAACATGTATTTTATGTAGAATATACTTTATATGATTTATTATATTTCAACCACATACGCCAAATTCGAACCAAATCGGACCATAAATACGGTTTTTCGAAATATCTCGACCTTGGCACCACCTAGGAAGACCATTTTATGCAAACATGATTCTACTTACATAGCCAGTATATATTTTAAAAAGCAGACAAATCGGCCCGTAAATACGTTAGATATAAAACTTTAATTTTTTTTTTGTCGTGGTGGACCTTCCGCTGGAAACACCCATATGTAA